TCTTGTTCATCAAATGGACAAATAAATAGGTTATCTTTAAAAAAAAACTAATTTTTTTTATTCATATCTTCATTGCATCATATTCATTTAAAACAACTTTTTCAAGTCTTTTTCTATCAATATGATACAAAATAGTATTACTTCACTTAGAAGAGGTATAATAAAACAAAAATTACATTAGTTCTCTAACTAGGAAGTCGATAACCTAAACAGACGAAATAATTTCGATAGTTCCATGTAATATATCTTTTTCATAAATATTTTCTTAAAGTATCAGTTAGAACAATCTTCTGACAAGATCTTGATTGATATTATACAATTAGAATACTTTGTGAAAATAATCGAAAAAAGTAAATAATATTGCACGTGTGCACTTAATTTCATCTAATATTTATTGAACAATAGAAATGACTCTAATTGATAAGTGAAGTAAATTCTTTTTCTAGATTTAATAGAGATTTCAGAGTGTTGACTTCGAGAAGAGATACACCCACACAAATCTTATTTCTCAACATATCTTTTAGAAAAAAAAGTTCAAGACTTTATCATTTACCTGAGTCGAGATATATGTAAAACAAAAAAAATGTTACAACATTCTGATATTGTAGAGAAAAAAAAAGGGTACTCTTTTTTCCTAATACATTTTTAATAGTTGAAACAGAATCAGATGTTTAAGGTAAATACGTCAAAATATATAGTGCGTTTCGACCTTCCTCGTTATTCATAGTCGATTACTAAATATAAGATACACAGTAACAAAAACCAAAAATTGTTATAGGAGGAAACTCTTGTGATTTCCAATGTAAATGTTTTTAACATATGTTTATCGTTATGGAATATACTAATGCTGATCGATGTTTGGTTATGGAATGATGATTGTTGTTATTATTCTATCGATTGACAATTCAGAGAATAGAACTATACTACATTGTTTAGAAATCAATCGATTTTTTGTGGAAAGATGAAATTATTAGAATTAATTTTTAATTCTGTTTTTTTTTCAGATTCTACTTTAAATGGTATACCAATTAGATTAATTAGATTTATTTGAAAATGTATCATCAATCATCATCATCATCATCATCATCATCATCATGTATGAATATTTATTCTTTGTAGTTTTCAATCAAAATAGAAATAATGATCGGATATATTTAATGAAGAAGAAAATTCAAATAAAAATAATTTTATTTTTTTTTTATTTTAGTTGGTTATGCTGCAATAAAAATTCAAGGTGCATTTCGTTATCATCAAGCTCGATTGAAATTAACAAATGAAGCAACATGGAAAATACATGAAAAACTCGAGTATTCTAATGAACAAACTGAAGCAAAAGTAACAAAAACAATTTTTTTTTCATAACTATAATATTATGCGAAATATTTTTTTAAAATATCTCACAGCTTAGAGACATGTTTGAAAAATTACTGAAAGCATCCGATATACTTTCACCATCTGTTACGAAATTACTTCAAAAACCTGGATTACTTCTTGGTAACACATTATTTGAAACAAAATAAACAATAAATAAATTCAATTTATTTTTACATAGAAGAAAAAGAACTTTTAAAATTAACAAATCCAGATGATATTCAAGTTGAAGCTAATTATCGAGGACCACGTAAGCGAGTGCTTTGTTTACAATCAATGAAATCATTATTCTCATTTGTTTTTCTAGATATTGAAAGTCCAATTAAGAGAAGTGCCTTTATTGATTTGATTGAAGCTTTTCAAAAAGTAGAAGTAAGTGAGACAAAAATATTTAATCGCATAGAGTATAAAACACAATAAAATATTTTTTGAAGTTATTAATATGAAATTTTGAAGCCTATAAGTAAAATAAATACTGTGTATATTGATAGATTTAGATATCCCAGACTGAATAATATGATCAGTCAATAGTATTAAATCTAGAAAAAGACAATTGTTATTGCGAAGTAATGTCAACATAACATAGTAGATATACCTAACATCACCAGTTGTTCTTTTTATGTTAATTATTATACCAGATGGAAAATTTTGCGTTACATTATACGTTCTGAATAAGCGCTTTCCATTCTCTGAGTTAATGATATTGATGTTAGTATTCTATAGAAAAATATTTTGTCTTCCAATAATAGAAATTACTTGGAGTATACGAAAATCAGTAATAGAGATACTGTAATTCTTTAAAGAAAAGCTTGAAAACAATTTCTTTCTATATGGTTTGACAGAAAAACAAAATAATGGTCTTTTTTCTATAGTAATTTAACTATGCTTCAACTAATATCATAATAAAAAATTTTTCATAAGATTTGTTTTTCTACCACACATGTGCTGGTAATATTAATATCTATATTAGTTGAAGAGTTTCAATCGACGTCTTTGAAAGTAAAATGATTCATGACATACTTACAAGTGATTCTCCTATATGGCAGGTGTCTATTTGAAATCGATGATGAAATATTTTTAAAGGTGTATAAGGTTCGAATGTTTAGAATTAATTAATCAGACGTTATGGGTATTCTAGTCGAAGTTTTGAGTAGATTTTTTGATTATTTCTGTATAAAAATCTTTTTTGTTTCCTTTATTACAAGAAACTATTTTTTCATTCACTTAGCAACTATCAAATTTCTATCAAAATTTATTGAAAAAAAACTATCAACTAATATAGCATTAGTGTTACTAGCGAAATGTATAATAAAAAGACAAATCTTATAAAAAAATTTATTATTAGAGTATTATTTGAACCATAATCAAAGATTATAGAAAAAAAAGACCATTGTTCTTTTGTTTCTTTCGACCAAGCCATATAGAAAGAAACTTTCTCAAAGTTTTTTTTTTATAAGGAATTAGTCTTTTAGATAAATAAAGAGAACTTGTAAAGAAAAATTCCAATGTTTAAGGTCTCTGCCCATGGATTCAAAAGTCTTTTAATTATTCTAGTCTTGAGTTCTTCGTTATATACCTAAAGCATGACACCAGCTTCAAAAATTGCTTAACAGATTTTCTTCGAGATATAACTACACTATTATTTATGAAATAATATCATTTAGAAGTACTATTTTTTTCCAACAGGTCTTGTACCAAAATTTGTTTGTTTCAATCCGAAGCTAATCAACATAAAGTCAATACTTCCACAGAAGAAAACATATAAAACTCCATAGAAAAGTAAATCATTCACGACTAATTCGGTTCTTTTTACTTCTAAAATTTTCAATCGTTCCGATCAAATTAATTGTTGTTTCGAGTTCTAGTATAGAATCATACTCAGCAGCTGAATCAAATTAGCCATGTTACAACCAGTGTATTGAAATTTTACATGAATTATTTTTAAAAATATCACACTGAAAAGATACCTATGTGTGAAAAACTTTCTCCGTACACTCATAACACTAAGATTAATGGAATGAAAAATAAGCATCTTTTAATTTACTTCTTAACCATGCATTTGAAGTAGTATTATTTCTTGGAAAATTTTATCAACAAACTAAAACAGTTGAATTGAGAGTTTGTTTATATAGAATTTCATGATTTGAAAATCTCAACAATAAGAATTTAGTGAATACACTATTTTGTAAAACATTGTTATACAAAAAGAAAAGCACAGTGAATGTGAATTTCGATAGAGAATAAGCTACTATCTAAGATGAGTTCAAACAATGTATTATTTATAAAAAAAAAAGCCATTTTGTCGGAGTAGATTGCAATTAAGCCTACACTATTTCATAAGTATAAGTAGATATTTCGACTAGTCAATAAAAGTATCAAATAAATAAATAAATTCAAACACATACCATATAATCTTTAGTCTATTCAATAATTTATTAATAGATTTTACATGAAAAATATGTCTATGTAATTCTTCATCAAGCACGTGTTATACTTAAAACTTTACCAAATGTGAATCATATTAATTTGTCTAATTTACATCATATATTTATTATTGGTGATCTTCATGGACAATTACCTGATTTATTACATATATTTAATATGGTAGATTAAAATTTTTATAAAAAAAATATATTTCCTTTTTTTGTTGCTTTTTTTTTGTATTTGAATTATTTATTTCTAGAATGGACTACCTGCAACTGATAATCCATATATATTCAATGGAGATTTTGTTGATCGAGGTCCAAATTCAATTGAAATTATTCTTTTAATTCTAACTGCTTTTATTCTCTATCCAAGTTCAGTATTTCTTAATCGGGGTAAATTTTTTCCACGAAACATATTTTTTTTTTTGGTTTTTATTTTTGTCTAAAAACAAAAAGGTAATCATGAAGATATTATGATCACAGCTCGATATGGTTTTCAAGAAGAAATTAATAAAAAATATCCCGTTCGTTGATAATTTATAGAAAATATATTAATCTAGTGATAATATATTTAGAAATGTAAAACACAATTAATTGATCTATTTAAAGATGTATTTAGTTGGTTACCAATTTATTCATGTGTTGATACAGGAAAATCTAATCTTATGATAGTACATGGTGGAATATCTAATCGAATTAATTTAAAACAAATAAATTCTCTTGTAAGAAATCGATGTAAGATGAAAATAAAATAAAAAATGAAATCTAGATTTTTATATTGTTTTATCAACTTATAGATATTTCAATTATTATACCGCCTAAATCGAAAAATATTGGTGAACGTTTGACTAAAGATGAACAAGATGAATATCTTCAAATGGCAGGTACTATTAACAGAAATCTATTATCTTATGTATTTCAGTTTAAATATAATTAGATTTATTGTGGAGTGATCCAGATCCTCAGAATCGTTCCGGTTGTCGAAACAATGATGATAGATATATGGGTTGTTTTTTTGGTTCAGATATAACGGAAGAATTTCTTAGAAAAAATCATTTTTCAATGATTATACGTTCACATCAAGTCAAAGAAAAAGGTTACGACTTCGATCATAACAGAAAAGTTTTAACTATTTTCAGTGCATCGAATTATTGTGAAGGATCCAATTGTGGTGCTTTTGCACGATGGTTAGGAATGATGATAAAGATTCGTTTTCGTTTTTTGAATACGAAGTTTATTCTAGGGATTATATGATAGATGAGCCACAAATTACTTCATATACATTACAAGATATTAATCTAAATGAAAAATTAAATTTTAATAAACAGTAAAATAATTAAAATTATGTCTTTTGTTATTTTTTTTAATTTTGTTTCATTTAAAGAGTAACATTATTCGAAGATCCAGTTTATCAAACATTAATGAAGAAAATTGTAGGAAAGAAAAGTTTACTTAAAAAAGAATTTGAAAAAGCAGATAAAAATCGAACTAGTATTCAATTTTTAATAAAAATTTACTGAAAATATAATTTTATTTATCTATGTAGATCATTTATCTCCGACAGTTTGGTCTGATATAATGAAAAATGTTCTTCAAATTGATTTACCTTGGCTTACTTTACGTTCAAAATTTGTCAAAGAAGATGCACAAGGAGTTTTATATAATACGACGATTGCAGATTATGCTTTAGATAATACAAAGTTTCAAAAAGTATGGCAAAACAAAAAATGGAAAATTACAAATCAATACTATACTCTTATAATTCTAGTCTCAAGTAGGTATTATGGAAGATCTCTATATGTGGAAAGATACACTTATGGCATTATTTAATTTAATTGATTCTGATCATTCAGGTAAGATTTATTTTATTCTGAGAAAAATCTACTGATTATGGATATATCATAGGTTTTATAAGTCGTAATGAATTTTCTGATGTTCTTAAACTTTTATTTTATGGTGAAAATAGTAATAGTGATGTAAATCAAGCATATATTGAAGAAATCATTTCTGCAATGGATTTTGATAAAGATGGAAAAATTGATGTTAATGAATTTCTCGGTAAGATTTGAATATGAAATTTATGTCTTCGAGGACGAAATATATCATCATTATCTTATGAGGAGACAAGTGCAAGTTAAAAACATTCTTTTTGTATCTAAACTCTATAGTCGTATGAATAGATATAAAATAGTATATGCTTCTCGTTTCATATCTTTTTGAATTTTATAGAGTCTGTTGATTCTTTCCTTGAAATTGTAAGAACTTAGGGTGTTCTTTGGTCATTTCGAACACAAAGAAAGACTAATACTTTTGTAGACTGAAATGAAAAACTTGTCAAACGAATT